AGTTTGGTATCATTAGCAAACTTGCTGAGGGAGCACTCTGTGCCTTCATCCAGGTCATTGATGAATAAATTGAACAGGACTGGACCAAGGACTGACCCCTGGGGGACCCTGCTAGCTGCAGGCCTCCAACTAGACTCTGCACTGCTGATCTCCACCCTCTGAGCTCTGCCGTCCAGCCAGGTCCTAATCCACCTCACTGTGCACTCATCTATCCCACACTTCCAGGATAGATGAGTGCACAGTGAGGTGGATTAGGAAAAATAAAAAATAAAGAAAGTGTGGAGAGGGGCAGATGTTTATTTAAGTGTTCATCTAATTGTTTTGTGTTCTTTTTCTCAATATTCCAATCAGTTATCAGAGGTTTGTGTTGGTTGACAATAAACTAACAACTCATGCAAAATTTCCCAACTTTAGACTCTTTTGCCTGCAACAGGCATCTGTGAAGTTTGGCTGTTTTTCACATAACTCTCCTGTAACCACCTGTTAAATCAGACATCCTTCACAGCACAGTCTGTAACTTTTGTCAGTTTATCTCAGTTATCTGTTATGTCCAGCAATTTCTCCTGTCACGTCCGCATGCTATTCAGTTACTTTAACCTCAGGCTAGGGCCTTGTCAGCAGCCTTAGCAATTTGCCTGAAGCCCTAATTAAATAAAATTAAAAATAAAAATAAAGTTTTTGTATTGCTGGGGGAGCTAGTACATATTTTGTAGGCTTCTTTGGGAATTGCTGGTAAGAAATTTCCCTTTATGGTTGATGTCACTTGAGGGTTTAATGCAGTCTACCTCTACACAGAGCTTGTAGAGCACCAACTGGTCAGAGACTTTTTGGTTCCATTATTGCTCTGTGTGGAACATGGTAATAACAATGAGGTTGTTATGATTATGTACAATAAGCCACATTATGTGCCAATGAGCCAACATTGCATCAATATGAACAACACTGAATTAAAGACTAACCAAAACAAGCATTTTGCTTTGAGTAGGTGATTGTGCAATTCCATATGTGGCCCTAGAAGGCTCTGATATTTTAAGAAAGTACATCAACATGGTAGCAATAAAAAAATTATGTGGGCTCATCCTTGTACAAGTTTCTAATGCAATAGGGAGTGAAATACATACCCATCCCTGTGTACATTTAGAACAATGAAACACAAATGATATATGTTTGATTTTTAGATCAATTGGCATAGTCCCTTACAAAATGGAGGACCCCTAAGTCAGGTCCCAAAAGTTGTGGAACTGTGCTATATTGAGTCAAACAAAGTATAGCTGAATTTGAATATTTTTGTTGCTCAGTATATATAGTAAGATACAAACATATTTTTTATGTGACACAATAGGTTTATCGTGCCCCATCCCTTCACTCTAATATAGATCCCTGAGAAGTTCCTGCAACACTATCACCTGGTTCATATACAACACAGCCAGGAGATGTTGTAAGTCTTGGATATTAAGCAACTGCATATTTAAACATAATACGCTAATATGCATTTGTTCTGCTAAGTTTTGTGCCACCCAATTAATGGCTCTCCAATGTTGCCAATTCCCCTTCCATATGTTGACATTACTCAGCGTAACTCATGACAACCAGTCAGCCATATACAAGAAGGCAGAGGTGTGCTTCTACAGGTAATACTTTGCAAACTTTGGAACATGTAGTCTGATTTATCAATTCATTTACCTGATGAAACTTATTGCACAGTATTTCAGATCTAGAGTTGAGGGTTTTACTTCTTCACCCTAACATTTTTGTGAGGCCTTTTCATCTGAACAGTGCGCTTGTGTAGATTTCAGCCCATGATTGTGCTGACCTGCTGTAAAGGGGTCAATGTACTTAATATGATCACTATCCATCAATGTCTCAAATCTCCTGTGGGTCCAGGAGTCCACAGATGCCCATATCCCGACTCAGTCTCAGCGACTGGCCATTCACTGATGAGACTTTGCTGTGGCAACATCTGCTCTTGCCTTGCAGGTGCTCTGGAGCAGGTGGGTCAGTCTCCAAAAAGGACATTGTAATCAACATGAGGTATGCTACACTGACCACATAGAGTTAGACAATGCTTAGCACAATTAGTATAAACAATATTCCAACTGGCTGTGTTGTCACATGTAGTAGCCCTGCAGCTCTAAGGACACTATTCCAAGGAGAACATTTTCATTTTGTATGTTCAAGAGGTTCACAATTGAATGGTATTTGATTTTTCATAATCTTGGTGATTAATAACCCTTCTATGATTGCTTGCCTATTTGCTCATTCACTGACTGTTTTACCAATCCTTTGTTAGTCTAATTGGTGAAGAGGGTAGAAGAGATACTGAAGGCCTTGTGGTTAGGCTCAGATCTTATAGGAGGATGTAGAGAGAACACTTGCAGAAGATCTATCAAGGAGTCAGGTGACTGGCAGAGTATATGATAACAGCCCCAGAGTGTGCTCTCTACACACTCCGGGAATTCTTGTCAAGGCCAGACATACATATTCCACTTTTGTCAACAACGTCTAGCTGCTTCCCAGATAGTAGCTACCCAAGGTTAGCATGGCAGAGATAAGGAAATAGTTCCAGGTGATTTAAGGGGCCCTTAGGATACTACAAGTGAGGCCTGCCTGGGCATTTGACCCATGCATCCAGCAGCCTCCCATCATCAGCCCCTCCCCAGGGCTCCTCATGCAGCTTGGAGTGTAAGTCCTTTATTAAATGTACTTTGTTTAAACCCTCACATGCCTTGAGTGTCTCTCAATGCTGGTATCTGACTCTCCCTTTCCCGCCTTGCTGTCACATTTGGCATAGTCGGCAGGATACTGGTGTGGAGATGTCTCTTTAGGCACAAAAGGACAAGGGAGGGAGGGAGCTGCACTGCCAGGTGGCCAGCTATGGATCAATGGGCACCCATGGCTTGCAAGCTGGCAGGGTGGGTCACCCTGCAGCATGGCCAGAGATCAAGAGAGAGCTGGGGGTAACTCCACAGAGGCTAGTGGAACTGGTTTCCAATCACCGACTGTAAAAAGCAGGGAAGGAGCAAAAGGCAAGAGAGGATCTGGGGTGCATCTTACTGATTGTGCTCCACCCCTTGGATGAGGCATTGTTGACACAGTGCCAGTGAATGGGTGGCACTGGCTCTGGGTACCCCAGACATGGCTCTGGGCGCCAAAGACCCAGCGCTGGCTTGTGGGGGTCCCCGATGCTGTCATGATGCCAAAAGCCTGGTGCTGGCTTTGAGGGACCCCTGATGCCATCGTGGGTACCAAAGACACAACGCTAGCTCTTGGGGCCATCCAGGCTGGCCAGGGCGCAGAAGGCCTCAGACCAGTTCTCGGGGACCCCCAACACTGGACAGGGTGCAGAAAACCTACCACCAGCTTTCCGGGACAACCAAGGCCTCTGTGGGCACAAAAGGCCCGGTGCTGTATCTTGGGGACCCCCAATGTTACTCTGGGTGCCAAAAGCCTGGTGCTGGCTCTCAGGGATACCCAACACTGCTGAGGGTGACAAAAGTCCAGTTCCGGCTCTTGGGGAAACCTGATGCCAGCCAGCATCTGAAAAGCCCAATACCAGCTCTTGGAGACCCCCAGGGCCCTCCTGGGCACCAAACACCCAGTGCTGGTTCTTGGGAACTCTTGATGCCAACTTGGGCATGGAAAGCCTAGCACCATCTCTTGGGGACATCTGACAATGTCCTGGCACCAAAAGCCTGACACTGGCTCTCAGGGACCCCCGATGTTGCTACAAGTGTCAAAGGCACAGTGCTGGCTCTCGGGGACCCTCAACACCGCTGAGGGCACCAAAGGCCCAGAAGTGGCTCTTGCTAGCCCTGGCCAAAACCTTGGGCATTGAAGGCACAGATCCAGCTCTTGGGAGGCCCTGACACCAGCCAGGATGTGGAAAGCCTTGCACCGGCTCTTGGGGATACCTGATGCTGCTCCAGATGACAAAGGCCCATCGCGGGTTCTCAGGAAACCGTGACACCAAAGGATGAGTGCTGGCTCTTGGGAACCCCTGAGAGCGGCCCGGGCGCCAAGGCCCAGCACTGCCTCTTGGGTGCTCCTGAGAACACACAGGGCACAGAAAGCCCAGCACTGACTCTCGGGGATCCCTGACCACGCCCAGGGTATGGAAAGCCCAGCACCAGCTCTCAGGGACCTCTGATGCCACTGTGGGTGCCAAAGGCCTGGCATCAGCATTCGGGGACCCCCGAGGCCGCACTGGACACTGAAGGCCCAGCACCAACTCTTGTGCACCCCCAATGCTGGTCCGAGCACAGAAAGCCTGGTACGAGCTGTTGGGGACCCCCAACGTCACCCCAGGCACTGAAGTCTGAGCGCTGACACTTAGGGATCCTGCCACCGTACTGGGTGCGGAAAGTCCAGCGCCAGCTCTTGGGGACACTGATGCCAGCCAGAGTGTCAAAGACCCAGTGCTGGCTCTCAGGGACCCCACACCTTAGGACGGGCACCAAAAGTCTGGCACTGGCTCTCAGGGACCCTTGATGCTGCTGCGGGTGCCAAAGACACAGAACTGGCTCTCAAGGACCCCCCCAATGCCAGTCCAGGCACCAAAAGCCTGGCGACAGCTCTCAGGGACACCTGACACTGCTGCAGGTGTCAAAGGCCCAGTTCCATCTCTTGCAGACCCGCAACACCATCCAGTGCACGAAAAGTCCAGCACAGGCTCTTGGAGACCCCCGACACCACCTCAGGCATGGAAAGCCCAGCACAGACTCTAGAAGAAACCCAATGCCACCCTGGTGTCAAAAGCCTGGCACTGGCTCTCATGGATGTCTCTGCAGGTGCTGAAAGCCCAGCACTGGTTCTCAAGGACCCCTGATGCTAGCCAGAGTGCAAAAGCCCACTACAGGGTCTCCGGGACACATGACACCACTCAGGGTGCCAAAGGCTTGGCAACGGCTCTTGAGGATCCCCAATGCTAGACCAGATGACAAAGACCCAGTACTAGCTCTTGCAGATCCCTGATGCTGGCCCAAGCACTAAAAGCCTGGCACGGTCTCTTGGGGACCCCAATGCCAATCTGCATGTGGAAAGCCCAGCACCGGCTCTTGGGGAGACCTGACACACCTCCAAGCACCAAAAGCCCATCACGGGATCTCGGACAACCCTGCTGCTGCAGGTGCTGAAGGCCCAGCACTGACTCATGGAGACCATTAACATTGACCTGGATACCTGGTGCTGGCTGGTGCTGGCTCTTAGGGACACCTGACGCTGCTGCAGGTGCCAAAGGCCCATTTCTGGTTCTTAGGGATGTCTGACACCAGCCAGCACGCGAAAAGCCCAGCAACAGCTCTCAGGCACCTCCAATGCCCTCCTGTGCGCTAAAGACCTAGTGCTAGCTCTCAATGACCCCCAATGCCAGTCAGAGTGGGAAAACCTACCACTGGTTCTCCAGAACACATGACACCTCTCCGGGTGCCAAAGGCCCAGAAGCGGTTCTCAGGGGCACCCAATGCCAGACCAGATGACAAAGGCCCAGAACTGACTCTCGCAGACCCCTGATGCTGGCCTGAGCACCAAAAGCCTGGCATGTCCTCTCATGGACACCCGTGACGGCAGCCAGCATGTGAAAAGCCCGCACTGGCTCTTAGGAACCCTCAATGCTCTTAAAAAACAATCCATGTATTACAAAAGGTCTGTTATCTCTGCTCACATGGAACAAGTTTCAAAACATATATTTTTAAAATGTGTTCAGTTAATACTCAAGCATTTTAAAAAAAAGCTATATACCTGACAGCATCCTCATATAATTGATAAATACATGATTTACATAACACTCCATCTGGAAAAAATTAAAATGCCTTACAAATATCTACCTATAATGCATATATATAAAAAACATCCATAGGAATACTTTGTTAAAGTCAGGTTTAATGGTCGATTTACACTTCAGGAAAATACATATAAATCTGTATTTTTTCATAAAATATCTCTAAACATTACCACATTTGTAACCATTTAACTTCTTTAAAGTATCTTTTAGAAAGGAATTTTAATATTAAAATATCCATGAGATT